ACTTAGGGTCCTTGACACCGTCAAGGTCTATCGGCTCCATGTCTCGGCCAATAGCCGTGGGCTTGACGTCTTAGAGGTAGCACTCTCGAGCCGTCTTCAGATCTCCGTTCAGGGAGCTGACAGAGCCATCATCCTTCTCAAATTTCAGCAGCATGAGGGAGGGGATAATGACGGCCTTGGATTCGTTTAGAGTCGGATTGCCCAAGATGAGATTATAGGCGGTCAGCTCCTCAACTACTAAGAACCAGACGACCATGTGACGCCCCTCTCCCTTCTCTCCCAGCCGGATGGGTAGATCAATGCGGCCGACTGGGTGCACAATTCAACCCCTTAAACCAACCAAGGGATGAGAAACCTTGTGCATGCTGTCTGGGTTGTACCTTAGCTTTGACAAACATTGCAACTGATTATGTCAAATGAACTGCCAGTATCAACGAGGATTCGACCAACCTGTTGGTTAAACACCTGCATTCAATAACTATTGGGTCATCATGTGGCTGGCGGACCTTGCCCCGGTCCTTTTTAGAGATGACGACCTCAGGAAATGTGTTGGCAGATGTCTGACCCTTATCGACTGATTTGACATGCATTTTTCTGACATGGTCCTTGGTGCCTCTGATAGTTGAGCCACCAGAGGCAAAGCCGCCTGCAATGGTGCAGATCATGTCCGGATTTGTGTCAAAACCACTATCAACCTTTACTGGCTTGTTGGACGGCTGCCTAGGGTCCACCTTCAAAGTCACCTTGGACTTGAGAATGTAGGACTTCAACACTCCTTTATCATCCAATCGATCCAGCAACCGCTTGAGGCTATAGCAGTTGTTGGTGTCATGGCCAAGGTCCTCATGGAAGTGACGGTACTTGCTCTTGTAACGGTTCTTGGTCGGACCCTTCATTGCCGAGGGCTTTTCAAAGCTCACCCGGTTTTGATTTCCATGAGGATGGAATAGCAATCCTATTAAACTCGTACTTAGGGATGTACGGCTTAACCTCTTTTTTTTTTTTTTTTTGGACGGTTGACTAGAGTCGTCGACCGCCTAGACATCTTTTCACTTTTTGCTCTCTTCGGTTTTTTGAGCCGGCTGATCTTGTCGACTCCCCTTCAGTTTGTCAGACCTCTTTGAGTCTGATTGCTTACTTGAGGAGCAGAGTTCTGCTGCCTGTAGGCCGCTGCCTCCCTCAACGCCTTTGGTAGAGTGAATATTCTCTTTCGAACGAGGTCAAACTTGAATTGTGACCCGTCCTTCAGACCTTTGAAGAAGTTTGTAAAAGCAACTTCGTTAAACAACCCTTGAATTCGGAATCTCACTAGATTGAACCGACTGACATAAGAATGGAGCCCTTCACGGTCTCCCTGAATAACCGTACCCAAGTCGATGCTAGTCTTCTTGGTCGGTATGTTCATAGAGAAGTTAAAGGCAAACAGGAACGCAAGCGTCCTGATATTTTTTATGCACCCAAATGGCTTGTTACCGAACAAGTTGGGCAATGCCCTTTAGTGTGGCTGGGAAGCACCTACACTAGGTTACATTATCCAACCCCTGTAATTACATGAGATTGGTGTAGTCCATCATGTGGTCTTCTGGATTGGTGGTGCCATCATAGGCACCAACCAAGACATTCTTAACCTTGGCCAGCTGTGCCGCCTCGGTTATTTCCTTGGAGAACGCAGCGCAAAAGGTTGTTCTCTAAGCTTGACCAGACGGAGCTGCCAGTCTAGGGGCTTGACCTGATATGCTCCTGACCTCCAAAGAGTGCAGGTTGCTGATAAGGTTGGGCAAAGGTCTATATGATTGATGGGGCACATACGGCGCCGAGCCTATCACATGAGGACCTGTATGGACGGACTGGCCGCTTAACAAGTGCTCTTGTGTAGATTGGGAATACCTTAGTGAGGTATTCGTGAAGCTGTCTGGCATTGTTGGCGTGGATGCCGTGTGGCTACTGCTGTTGTGCTTGATGATCTGCCGAGCATCAGTGAAAGTCTTCTTGCTGCCACCAGCTGTACTTGCCGGATGAGCTTCCTTTTCATCATCTCTGGGAGACGGAATTTGGTCCAGTCAATCAAGGGCCGGTCCCCCTTCTTTTGCTCGGGATATGGAATGGGCTACCTGTCCTTGACTGTCTTGGCCTTCCCGGAGTGAGGAAGGTTTCTTAGCCGACTGTTCTTTCCTTGGATCAGCCGCCTGACTCTTGATGAGATCTTTCGTCTCACCTTTGAAGTTCGTCATAAACTTCATGAACTCTTCACGGGTAATATGAGCAGTCTCCCCTTCAGCCCGAGGCTTGCCGGCTGACTTGCTCGGACCCGCCTGATTTTCTCCTTGCTCCTTTTTCTCTTTTTGGCGGATGCGTTTAGAGATCAGGGATCCATCTTCGTTCGTATGTATTTCGACCTCTAGATCTGACTCAGTATCATGGTCTGAATGGACGTCTGACAAACGTTTGTCCTCAGAAGTTAGTACAAGTTCTCTAGAAACCATCTTAGAGGTACTCTCCCAACAGACGATGCCAATTGTTTCGGGGGTTTTCATGTCTCCTGCGGAAGAGTTACGTCACCAAGACTAGATCCTCTTCACCTGTAACTGCAAGCAAACAGAAGCTCTGATTGTACAGAGTTCCGCCTTCGACGATCAAGTTAGTAAAGGTCGAAGTAGAGTAAAATGCAGAAAGTAAAGTGAATCTTCTCTGATCCCGAGATCAGGTGATTTCTCTGTTGTAAAAGAATAGTAAATGATGTAATAAATGAACTTGCCCCCAAAATGGGGGTAAATGTCTCTATTTATAGGGCATTGGGAATAGTGCCCTTATGTAGGTCACTTAGACCTAGATTTGGTGGGTTGTGCAGTTTTACGGATCTTTGGGAATTGGGACCTTGAGAGCCGCCATTTTCCTTCAATATCAGTGTGCCAAGTGTTTTATCCTGATTGGCCCGTTTGCGCATTTCCTGAGGTGGCACGTGTCACGTTCTAGTTGGTCCATGTGGCTTGGGTATTTTTACCCAAATGATTAGTGATGAGAAAGGCCAACTGAAAATTATTCCTCTCATCCTACGAGTAATATACAGAGTAATTATTTGCAGCCCTTAAACTTACCCCTAAATGCTGCACGGATGTACTTAACACCTTGTAACAAATTATTGCATATTTGCATTACTACTCGTGATGTAGATGAATAATTTTAGATAACTCTCTTCAATGAGTAGGCACATTCGGTAGACTTAAGGTTGATATGGAATAACGCGGTTGTAATGCTATTTACACCGAGAATCACTTAGGTGGGGTGTCATATATGTCATCATCGGAATTATTGAAGATATGTATGACATTTTTTATTACATTTACACTGAGGTGCCATGGATATGAGGAACATATGTTCTGCTGCCAAGTAGAACTCTGTCTCCCCTTGACTCCTTGAGTCCTTTAACCTTTCAAGATATTTCCTGCCAAGGCCGAAGCTTACAATATTTGTTGCATCTAGGTAGCCATAACATCAGGAGAAGGGCGTTACATAGAAGAAGTGAGGCAAGCTCAGATGGGAGTCGATCTTCTGAATCTCGTGACAGTCGATGCCAAGGGACTGCCTTTGGAGCCAGATAATCTTCATCTCACTACACAAGCACAGGTCGAACTTGGAGAGAAATTGGCCCATACCTTTTTGCAGTTCCTACCAGGACATGTACAAAGTAATGCTGGCAGTTTCTTAGTACAAAATGATGCTGCTAATAATTTATATAATAATTTCTTATACACAGCCCTTATTGCTTTGATCTTGATTGTTCTTAGATTGCAGTAGCAGTACATAAACATTAATATTTTCAATTTTAAGTCCTCAAATTTGTTAACATCAAAATATTTTATTTGCTGTACAAGAAATGGTATTGATATACAGAGTATTTTTTTTGACAAAAAACTTGTTGTATTTGTAATGTACACTTTATTTCATATACCTCTGCATACTCCATATCATCTATCTCTCTTTGGGAAGGAGAAGATTTGGTGTTTACATGAAATGCCATTTTTTTACTCTTAATTAATAGGTATACAAAATTGTCCATTTGACGTACTCAAATTATTCCTAACCTTCCTACACTCATTTAAATAAGGAAATTACAGATAATATTAACTGAAAGATGTGAAATACATATATATAATTCTTTATCCATGGAAAAAAAAAACTACAGTTAATTTCCAATTGATTAAAGAGCTAATTTTCGGTAAGGATCTTCATTGTATTTTTAGGATGCTTTCAGTATTCAAGGCTTTGTGAGCCACAGTGATTTTAGGGATCATGGAAACTGTGAAAGACTCCACCTTTGAATAAAGCTTTTGGTCTTCGAAATCATGGGAACGGAATTGGAAAGATCGGCTTACTTCGATAGTTTGGTGTACAAAATAATACCATTTCGCAACAAGTCTAGACATGTTTATGGGTGGTGTTTTTTTTTTTTTTTTTTTTTATGGGAAGAAATTTTTTTTTGTTACCAATAAGGAACAAAATTACAACGATTAACAACCAAATCAATTTTCATAGGTAAAGCAAAAACCTAAACTATTTGAGCTTTACAAAATACATGAGCAATTAGGAAATTCTTAACAACAATTGTTGGTAGTAGTTATTGCAATCTAACATGTATGATGTATCAAATCCCAATTGATTCTCTTTCCTTATTAATTTCTTATGAAAATGACGCTGAATAATAAATATTACTCATGCTACTCTATATAACAAACCCAAAGTTATTGTCTATTAGCAAATATTAGTTTGATATACAGAGATTAACATGACAATAGCCACGCTAACTATCATGCTTTTCTTATTCATTGTTGCACCAACCTATGCAGAGTTACCGCAGGACATATTCCTCCTAGCGGGCCAAAGCAACATGGCTGGACGTGGTGGAGTCACGAACGGCAGATGGGACGGGTTCGTACCACCCGAGTGCCAGCCCAGCCGCAATATCCTCCGTCTTGATGCGCAACAGAGTTGGGTGCCGGCTCATGAACCACTTCGTGGACATCGACCTAAATAAGACTTGTGGTATTGGCCCTGGCATTGCGTTTGCCAATGCTGTCGAATCGCTTGGTGGATCATCAAAATTTGGTTTCATGGGCTTGGTCCCCTGTGCTGTTGGTGGGACAAAGATCAGTCAATGGGAAAGAGGAACGAACTTGTACAATCAGCTGATAACACGGGCTAAAGCGGCTACGCTAGGCGGTGGTAGAACCCGAGCCGTGTTGTGGTACCAAGGAGAGGCTGATACGGTCAAGCTTGAGGATGCTAAAGCTTATAGAGGGAGGATGGAGAATTTTATCTCTGATTTGCGTTCTGATCTTGGAGACCCATCTCTCTTGATAATCCAGGTAATAAATTTGGTTAATTAATCTTAAGAGTCATAATATAGTTTTATAAGTACATCAAAATGATCACATGTTAGTAACTTAGCACAAATATAGCAGATTACTTGAATAATGGGTCCAAAATTAGGTAGCCCAATTCCAATTCAATGGAAATTTAATCTTGTATGTTATTGTACCAAGTATATAGTTTCTCTTACTCCCTCATTTTGACCCCAAATAAGTGTTAACGTTTTTTATAAGAGAAAGGTAAAGGTTACCATTGAAATTATGGAAATAAATTTTGAAAAAATCTAATAGGATCGTAAATAAATAATTTTATAGTTTGATATTTATAATACAGAGTATCCCTAGTTAGTTATAACCGATACTGAAGATGCAGGGAATACCCCGTTCAGAAGACATCTGAGGTTCCCAAGGGTGCCTCGGATGAATTAGTTCAGGTTTCTCGAGAAATCAAAGTCAGCTAGGGGGCAAACCAAGCAGCCTCTTAGGCAGCCAAATGAACTGTCCCAACGCTGGAAAGATGCTAGATACTATCTCCAGCACAAGCGGCAAGAGCGAGCGCAGTTCTACTACTCGGACACTGCTTCCACTCCCACCATGCCAGATGAATTTTAAAACCATACCATCTCCAAGCATACAAGCTCGGCTAGGACCAACAGGATTCAAGCTCACCGTACTCCAACTCCAGTTCCTTTAACTCAACCACTTAAGTATCAAATGCCCCATGATTATGGTGCAGTTTTGCCGCCTAATCCCCCGCGTACAGGCAATATGGCCCACCGTACAACCAGCCAGCTTACCTAGGCGGATTGGCCACACACCCTCAACCTATTGATTGGCAAATGCGCTTGTTGAATCTTGATGACAAGCAGCCTCTATTTTCTCAAGAAATTCTCAACTCTCCTCATCCAGCTAAAGTGAAGAGTGTACTCGTGGGTGCCTATGATGGTACGGGCAACCCACAAGAGCATGTTACTAGGTACAAAAATTTGATGTACTTGCAAAATGTAAATGATGCCACTTGGTGTAAATGCTTCCCGACCACTCTCAAGGGTGTGGCTCAAGACTGGTTCAACAATCTGCCGGCCGGATGCATAATTGCTTTACAACTCTTAGCCTATTGTTTGTTCGAAACTTCTCCTATAACATACCACCCCAGAAGACTAGTCTTAACTTGGAGACCATCATCCAAGGAAAGAAAGAGGGGTTGCGTTCGTACGTTCAGAGGTTTAACTTGGAAAAAGTGAAAATTCAGAATCTTTGAGATGAAATGGCCTACTCGGAGTTTCTTCGAGGGTTAAGGCATAATGGTTTCAAGTTTGATTTGATAAAAAAAAAGATTCAGACATATGCACGTGTTTTGCGGGAGGCCGAATCGTACATTGAGGCAGCTGATTTCTGTTCGCTGACAAAGTCAGAAGAACCGGCCAAGGGCGCCGAGAAGAAACCATCTTCTCAGCAAAACTCGACTAACAAAAAGAAAGAAAGAAACAACAAAAGAAAAGAAGTTTGGGTGGCTGATTGCCAACAAACCATGTCAAAGACAGCCAAGACGTACGAGCCATAGTACGAGTACAACAAGGATTGTTACTCAATTTTTATGGAAATCAAAGACAAGTTCGAGTTTGAGAATTCCCAGCCTTTGAGAGGGTCAGCCTGGTATAGAAACAAGAATAAGTATTGTCATTACCACAAGGATGTGGGGCATGACACGAATGACTGATGATTAGGGGATTTCTCCCGCCACGTGGACCACTCAAGCCCTGCCACGTGTCATCCACGTGGACCAACCAGAGTCCGCCACATGTCACCTCGTGAGAGATCCAAGGTGGACCAATCAAGCCACGACACGTGGCAGACAGATAGCCCACCAGGAAAATGGCCTCCTACGGCCCAAATTCCTAGGCAAAGCCCAATCAGTCCTAAGTTTATTGAAACCTAGTATTGGGCACGCTTTCCAACACCCTATAAAAGGGAGATGTTTCCCTCTAAGGAACATCATTTAGAAACAATTAATTCACATTAACTCACAATCAGAGAAAGTCAGACACCTGACACCTCGAACTGAGCAATTACACATTACTGATACTCTCTTGGAATCTAAGGAAGACCTTTTACTTTCCGCACTTTACTCCTCAAACACGTTCTAACTTGATCGTCGGAGGCGGAACTCCCACCCATAGGAGTCTCCGTTGTTTTGCAGGTACAGGCGTCTAGAGGTCAGTCTTGGAATTGTAACTCTCCCGCAGGACATTAAAAAAGCAAGAAACATTTGGCGCCGTTTGTGGGGAGAGTACTTTTGAGATGACTTCACAAGAACCTGTACCGCTTATTAATGAGAAACGGCCTATGGCCGATGTCCAGGTCTACTCAGACCAGGATACAGATGACGACTATGAAGTCGCCACCCACACGGCCCCTAACGGGTCCTTAAGAACACGGCGCATCGGTCCCATCGAAAGTAGGGAACGGAACACCGACCGGGAAGGGCCTAGTAAAACAGTCGGCCAACCGACAGGTCAGCTCCAGGTGGCTGAAGGATCCACCCCCATCACTAGAAACGAGCTCATGACAAGTTTTAAAGGGGAGATAAAGGATCTTATTGATAAAAGGACGGTTGTGCCTACCAAGGAACATTCGAGCAAGAAACCCTCTCATTCTGGGAGGAATAAGCCGGTCAAAGATCGGGAGGCCACTCTTTACCCTAAACCAAGGGAGGGACGGAAGCCCTTGATAAACTTGGCCAGACTTCGGTTCCCTAAGCCAGGGAAGAGGAAGGTCATCCCGCATGTACAGCCGGATGGTTCCAAGAAAACATATTCCTATGCTCGGATGATAATCCAGCAAAAGAAGAATATGCAACGGTCAGAGTCGGCCTCAACGTCGAATTAAAATGACAGTTTTCAGAATACCTCAATGAGATATTCTCAATCAAACCGAGAGGACCAGACAGGCGGCATGTCCGCTCACTCAAGTCCTCAGATGTTCCAGGCGGCCTCGTATGCGCCTCAATAACCATACATGCCGTATGGACAACCATATATGCAGTCTACCCTCTTCGGGGGGCAGGCGGCACATAATGTCCAGCCCTTGGACTGGCAGCTCTGACTACTAAGACTTGGGGAATAGCCTTCAGCTTTCTCCAAGGAAATAACTGAGGCCGCACAGCCGTCCAAGGTGAAGAATGTGTTGGTAGGCACTTATGATGCTACCTCCAACCTTGAATACCACTTGATGGCATACACCAACCTTATGTATCTTCAAGGGTTGGACGATGCCACATGGTGTAGATGCTTCCCGGCCACATTGAAGGGCGTCGCCCAGCAATGGTTCGACAACCTGCCAGCCGGATGCATCAATAATTTCAAGACGCTTGCATACTTGTTCGCTTCAAACTTCTCAATGAATATCCCTGCAAAGAAAATAAGCCTTAACTTGAGGGCCATACAGTAGGGAGAGAAGGAGGGGCTACGCTCATATATCAGGCGGTTCAATCTGATGAAAATTCAAATTCAAGGACTGCCTGATGAAGTAGCCTACACAGACTTTTTCAATGGTCTGAAGGATGGGTCGGCCTTCAAGTTTGACCTTGTCAGAAAGAGGGTAGCTACCCTCCAAGAGGCACTGATGGAGGCGAAGGCCTATATACAGGCGACTGAGCTGTGTAACATCAGTAAGCAGTCGGACTCAAAGAGGTCTGACAAAAAAGAGAGTCGGCCATTACAGCCGGCCAAGAAAGAAAAGAAAAGAAAAGAGGTTTGGGTGGCTGATACTTCTGAACAGTCGTCCCAGAAGAAAAAGAGAGAAGCGAAGATGAACTCCCCAAAGTACGAATTCAATAAAGACTTTTACTCCATCCTCATGGAAATTAAGGATCAAGTCTCTATTGAGAAGCCGGCTCCTATGAGAGGTTCCGCTAAAAATCGGAACAAAAACAAATACTGCCACTACCATGAGGATATTGGCCATGATACCAACGAATGCTATAGCCTCGAGGGTCTGTTGGACCGCCTAGCTGATGAAGGGGTAATGAAGTCCTGTGTTCTGAGGTCCAAAGTTACCCTACAAACTAACATTGGGCAGCCGCCCAAAAAGAAGTCCCACAATGCTAATAATTTGGATACTGATGAAACTGCGATCTATACAATAGCAGGCGGCTTCGCAGGAGGCGGCCCTACCATCCGGGGTAATAAAGACTACGTCAAGCAGCTTGATGTTAACTCAGTCGACGAAGGTCAAGTGTCCAAGGACTCCTACCCCGAAGTCATTATTACTAAGGATGACAAGGGCAGAGTCAGGAGGCCGCATGATGATCCTGTTGTAATCGAATGCAAGGTGGTCAACCAAAGAGTTGGCCGGATCCTCATTGACACTGGGAGTTCGTCTGATCTCATTAGTCACAAGTGCCTGACCAAGCTCAGGTATAAGCCCGAGAGTATGCACCAGTTCTCTCATTGCTTAGTGGGATTCGGGAGTGGTGTGGTACATCTAGTAGGTCGAATAGACGTACCTATTCGTCTAGGCGAGGAAGGGGAGGGACGTCACATGGTGGTCGGGTTCTTAGTTGTTGAAGAGCTGACGGCCTATAACATGATTTTGGGGCGCCCCTCCTTGGATGAATCCAAGGATGTTATCATTCCTTCTCTTATGCTTCTCAAGTTTGTGAGGGATGATGGAACAGTCGGCTCCCTACGGGGAGACTAGAAGATGGCCAGGGAGTGTTACCTCTCTGATGTCAATCCCACTATGGTCGCAGCCGGCCCTAGTGGAGAAACTACTGACCTTGACCAAGTCAAGGAAGCCGCGCCTGCTGCAACAGCAGCCGGCAAGAAGACAAAGGCCAACCAAATGGTGGCCGAGAAAAAAGACATGCAATAGCAATCACTGAGCGATCAAAGGCCGGATGAACTCCGTCCCCAGCTGGCTGGTGAGCACATGGACATCGTCATAGATGACTCTCGTCCTGACCGAACTGTTAAGGTTAGGACGATTGCTTTTGCTGAACTCGGTGCAGACTTGCACCATTTGTTTAAAGAATTCAAGGACATCTTTGCCTTTGAAGTGGACGAGATGCCAGGCATTAGCCCGGATCTAGCCGTCCACAAACTTGCTGTGGATCCTAAAAAGAAGCCAGTAAGTCAAAAGAAGAGGTACCATGGTGAAGAAAGAAGCCAGGCAGCAGCCGCCGAGGTGAAAAAATTGTTAGATGCTGGTTTCATTCGGAAATGGTACTTCCCTGATTGGGTTGCCAATGTTGTCCTAGTTAAGAAGCCGAATGGAACCTGGCGCATGTGTTTCGATTACACAGACTTGAACAAGGCGTGTCCGAAGGATAGTTATCCCTCTCAAATATCAACAGTCTGGTCGACTCTACAGCCGGTCATGCCTTGATGAGCTTCATGGACGCCTATTTAGGCTTTCACCAGATACCCTTGTGGAAGAAGGATAAAGAAAAGACGGCATTCGTCACTGATTAGGGTTGCTATAATGTGATGCTGTTTGGTTTGAAGAATGCGCCTGCTACCTTCCAGAGAATGATTAATATAGTCTTCATTAATCACATTGGAAGAAATGTGGAGGCGTACATTGATGATATGATAGTCAAATCCAAACTTCAGACGGACCATCTTACAGATCTCCGAGAAATATTCGCCACACTCAAGCGGCACCAGGTCATGCTCAATCCCAAGAAATGTATTTTTGGTGTTGAGTCTGGGAAGTTCCTCGGATTTCTAACTGATCAAAGGGGGATAGAGGTCAATCTAGAGAAAATACAGGCGGTCATAGACATACAATCGCCCCGTACTGTAAAGGAAGTTTAAAAATTAACAGGTTGTCTGGCGGCATTGAGGAGATTCCTCAGTCGGTCAGGTGACAAGTGCCTCTATTTCTTCCAGGCAATCAAGAAGAAGACTATGTATGAATGGGGGACGGATGCAAAGGCGGCCTTCCAAAAGTTGAAGGAACACTTGCACTCTTTGCCAAGGCTTGTCAGCCCTTTGTCAAAGGAAGTGTTATACATGTACTTGGCCGTCTCTGATCATGCTCTCAGTGCCGTTCTCCTTGCTAAAAGAGACGACTGCCAACTCCCCGTCTATTTCATCAGCCATATCCTGAAAATGCTGAGTTACGGTACCCCATGGTTGAAAATTTTGGCCTGGCCCTCTTCATGGCAGTTAAGAAGCTGAAACCTTACTTCTTGGCACATCCGGTCGTGGTCTACACTTATTAACCAACCAAACGCCCACTGACAACCATGGAATCATCCGGCCGAATGATTAAATGGGAAATTGAAATGCAAAGCCTAGAAATTAATTTTGAGCCAAGGAAAGCAGTGAAGGGGCAGGCACTTGCCGACTTCATTGTTGAAATGACTAGGCCGACTTCATCCAGACAATCTTGACCAAGTCTGGAAGGTATATGTGGACGGGAGCTCCACAATGAACGGCTGTGGTGCAGGCGTCATATGTCAGTCTCCTGAAGGGGACAAATATGAATATGCACTGCGTTTTAAGTTAGGCATCAAAAAGAAGATTGAAAGAGCTGGCGGCCTATGGGTTGACGAGC